TCTTAACGCCACATATGGATCATCGGACTAGGATAAATCTAGGGTCTAGGTGGCGAGGGCGATGACGACAGATGACGGATGACGACATTGCTTATGTGTGCTTAAATAAGGAATACGAAGTGAGATTATTAGAATATTATCTCCTACCTCAAGGATCTTCAATAACGGAGATGGAAGGATCCATGATATTATTCGCCTATTCTTGGTGGGATCCTTGCCCCCGACACTCTTAGGTTGTCAGTAGTTCTAGCACAATTAGAGTGACTAGCTTGTGGACTATACAATTTTACAAAAATATTTACAAAAATAAAATAAAAATTTCTTTTGCATGATTAAAAGAACTCTGAATAAAAAAGACTTAAATAATAACTTTTGCATGAAAATCTTTCTACGAAAATTTATAAAGGTCCACGGCTAGTCACTTGGATTGATGTTAAGAATTGTCTTCTGTAGATTGTCGGGCCGGTAACTCCTGTTCAAGGTCGGGAAGCATATAACCCAGCTCTGAGCCCCCTACTTTTACCAATGTCTTATACCTAGTCCTGAGCTGTCATATGTGGTTACAGGTTTCTTTTGCTCGTGATTTATACTAGTTTTTTTATGACTTTCATGCTGAGTTTTCTTGCCTTATTTATTTTTCTTGCAAGTATGTTTAAATATGCTACAAATCATACTATGCTCGCAACATTAATAACGCAACAGTAGCAGTTGCCCAGGTATGCTTTTACAGTTTATTTATAGCATTTTACTTTATTGCATTTTACCTTTCAAGTATCTTTTATTTACCCGCAATTTGATTATTCTGCATGCAAAACCAGTTCTAAAACCAAAATCGAAATAAAACAAAACCAAAACATTGACACCAAAACTGTGAAGCGTAAACTACTAATCTCAAGCACTTAAACCATGAAGCCGTCGCGATGACAGGAGCTTGGAACCAACTTTGTGGGCAGCACGACGAGGAATTCAAACCGAGCAGCAAGAGGATCTTCTTCAGCATTATCCCTTCCTAGTATAATAACAACTCATAGGACTTCGAGGTAGCTCGTCTAACGCGATGTAAATCCTCACACTCTCTTTTTAGGCTCCTGTACAACCATGTTGTGCAGCGTAAGTCCTAATCCGCCTTAGGTTCCGAGGTTGTCGTGTGACACGGCGTAAACCCTCTTATCTCTGTGGGCTATTTTTATAATCAGACATTATGCAAGTTTAAGTCCCAAATAATAAAACTGGCAGGATCAAACACTTAATTAACATTGTCTCCAAAATGTAGCCACATCTTATGATAGTTTGGGAAGTCATTGAGGTTCCTCCTCAAGATCTGTGACGCCCCCTACCCTTTACCCTTTACTTCCATTGAACTCTTGAAAGAATTGTTTTTACTTGAGCCACTCCCACTTGTTTTTCCACATCCTACCGTGAAAACTTGAACTTTGCATTCTTGAAGACTAGAACCACTGATCATTATCGAGAGTTTTCTCAAGTGACTCCCGTCATTTGGGATGTAATTAAATATAGGGGCTTGCCTCTATATGGAACTTGGAACCCAGGTAAAATAAACCCTATTTAATCTTTGTATTAGATAGGGGAAATATAAAAGGTTCGCAGACTAAACGGATGTCACAAATCTCTTAGTTTGCTGGATTGGGTCTATCGCCGAGGTCTACACTTATCTTTCGGGAGGGTGTAGTATTCGCGGTATCAGACACGATTATGCAAACTATTGGACGAATGAGATCCATTTGGTCTCATTTTTCAAAAATTAAAACATACTATTTCAAAACCTAAACTATATACCTCTTATACTTAAATTAAATTACAAAAATTATTTTCATATACCATATTTTCAAATCAATCAAAAAAGTTGACCGACAATAGGGAGATAGGTTTTGATAGGGGTAACTTGGAATTTTCTATGGTGACAGACATAAATACTTACCTAGTTAAGCCAAACTTCTTTATACAATCAAAAGAGGGTAAAGAAGAAGAATGCTTCTATTTGTCACTAATTACAATCTATATTCTAAGTGTTCCATTCTTATGCAAATTATTTACTTCATTGCAAGGGGAGATTATTTTACATAACTTGACCTTTCTCAACTTATTTAAGTTTAGTAAAATTAACTTTAGAGTAAATCTATAGGTTTAGTGACAATTTGGAAGAATTTACAAGCATAATTTAAATCGACTTTACTTCCATGCTAAGACTCGTTATAGTAGGCTAGACCTTTTCTTAAGTTTTTAAGATAACAACATTTCCTGTGGGATTGATACTCTAGACTTAAAATCTGATACTATTTGAACGATATATACGCTTGCGTAAAATATCTAGTGTGTAGTGCTAAATTATGGAAAAAACTTAAGTTATAAAATTTATAATACATATTTTTGATTTACAATATTTCATCCAAAAACACTAGGTATCCGGTATGATCGGTCACTAGACAAGGTAAGTAAGAAAATAGGCAAGGATTATAGGAGAGTAGAAAGGCAAAGACAGGAATGTGAAATGCAGCCCGAGTAAGAAGGTAAGGATTTGAAAGGGAAGAAATTAGAACAAGAGATGACAAGAGGTAGAAACTTCCACTTCAACTGGTTCTCATCGGTCCGGTCCAGCAGGATGGCTGATTGGTCATTTGCTCGTGTCGGTCCGAACCTCAGATTCCTGTGGCACAATTACTCATTTTCTTCTTTTCCTTGCTAACAATAACGACTGCCCCCAACTAATCCCTCCTTTTAGGGTAAACCTTGGTGCGATAGAGGCAGAATACTCAAACAAACTAAATTCTCACCAAAACTTAATCGTCTCAATATTCGTAATGCATTTCATTTCATAATTTATTCACTTTCATATACTTGGAAGCGTCAGAAATTCATATCACCAAAATATATATATATATATATATATATATATATATATATTTATTGGTGATATAATATATATACCTGCTAAATCTAATATAATAGTATGCACTCAAAAGTGTATACAAATGCCTAAATTTGTATAATGCAAAAGTTTTACATTTTATATCTGGCTACTTGCCCTCATATTTTTTATCCTTTTCAAAAAGTCAACAACATAGAGTGGGTTACAAAAAGCTTAGCGAAATAATCAAAACTAAATAAAATAATTTATAGATGAAAAAAAAAGAAAGTATGATTATATGTAGCTCATGTACTTGTGTTCAACACGTCACAATATGTTATATAATCGTATAAAACATGTAAAAGAAAAGACATATAATATAGAAAATCATGACAACTATATAAAACATGTGTAATCATAGCCATATTTATGAGTCATCAATCTAATCATAGGAATAACATTTATAATTTATAAGCCCCAATTATTCTCATACCATGTCATTTAGTCGTCACCTAGTTTGAAGACTTTATTAATTCTTGATAAAGGTTGGACCCCTTTCAACATAATAATTATCAATAACACCCTGATACTAACAATTCCCCATTTTTTGTTCCCGTCTAATATCAACGGTTCCCAGAATTTCATCTCCGTTTGATACCAACGGTTCCCGAAGTTTCAACCTCGTCTGAATACCAGGAGTTGAGAATCCCATTGTTTCTTATCATCCGTACTTGCGAGCGAGATGATCTGTTTGAGTGAAAGAGATGAGTGAGGGCTCCATTTGAATGTAAGTAACGGGTTATGGCCTCCACCGGAGGAAGGGATGCAGCTAGGGACTGAAAATTTGAACAAAAGAGGCCAGAGATCACTCAGTTTTGGTTGCTTTCGTATTACCCTTCTCTTGAGTACAAGAGAGGCCATCGAGATTCACAGAAGCAATGTGAAGAGGGAGTGTGTGATCACAAACTAAATGTTGAAACGACAACACGCGTAGGAGGGCTTGTGGGCCGTTTGAATTGATTCCGATGACTGCAGGGAGGTTTCCATCTGCTGGACGACTGTTGGAGGGGCTCCAACGGCTGATGGAGAGCTATGATTTATTTTTTTGCTTGATACGATGAAAAAATTATATTCTTTTCTTTATTAATCATTAAATTACAACCTTTCTCCTTATATAATAAGTAAAGGCTAGGACAAACCTAATTCCTACCATTGCAACTTACCAAAGATGCAACAACTAATAAAAGGAAAGAAATACAACATAAGAAGAAAGAAATTAACGAGAATAAATCTAAAATAATAAACTCAGAATTCCATAGTTTGTAGTTTTAAATCTTAACATAACTCATGTCATGGATGGAATAGTTGCTTTTGTGCCCGGTTCGAAGAGTATATTCTGCTTTAGCCTTTGATGTCGTACAAACATTTTGAAGACAAAACTAGTAGTCCTCTCGTTGCATTGTGTTGAAGATTTGGTCAGCTGTTCAAGGGTTCAATGCTTGTTGTTTCTTTTGAGCGTTTGTAGTAAAGGTGGTTGGCAAAGGAAACCAGTTTTGGGAAGGCATGAGAAAGTTATTTTGGTGACATTGTCATTTACAATTTTAGATTGGAATAATTATTTATATTTTGGAAGAATTAAGTTGAAAGAAAATTTCTAAGATACTTAGACTGGCATTTGTATGTAAAGATTCCGCAAACTATTTTTGTAAAAGCAAACTTTTGAAATGAATTAGTAGAGATGACAGTGATGATTGAAGTTAAGTTGGAAAATTCAATTGTATACAAGAGCATGTTCTGTACAGAGCTTCCATTTTCTTCAGAAAAATTTGAATTCATATTTATTCCATCCATTCAATATTTTTTTATTTTCTCTCATTGCCTTATGATTTGACTGTTAGTTTCGGTTATCATCTTAATTATTATTGCATCATGATGTGAGCTTTAAAGATTCAACTTTCAAAATTAACATCAATATGTGGGAAATCTTATCAACTAGTAATACTTTAACGTTAAGCAATTACTAGGCTTTTTCTCTAGTTCTAGTATTTTTATTTTAAGCCGTGATAAAGGCAATTGAACTGCATCATCTAGCGCTATTATTGTTGAGCTAAAATTTGCTGTTTATGCTGTGCAGGAAAGAGCTTCTGAGAGCAATTGATGGACGGCTTCTTACTGTAAAGCAGGACTTGGCTACTGCTTGTGCTAGGGCATCAGCTGCTGGTTTCAATTTAGAATCTGTATCTGAGCTTCTTCTTTTTGCGGATCAGTTTGGTGCAATTCGCTTGAGGTTCGCGCTAACTCAATGTTTTTATTACCATTTAGAATTTGACATTATGAGTATCAAATGGACAGTCTAAACTATCGATTGTCTTAATATCATAAAACTAATTATATATTCAATTTCATGAGATCTAAAAATTACTTGATCTTCAATTGAATGCAATAAAATTTTCCGAATGGATGGCTCAAGCTGCACACTAATTTTTATTTGAATGTGTAGAAACTTTCAAATGGCTTGAAATTAAATTATGGGTTTACAGTATTTAGAGATATTCAGTGGATTTAATTGCATTGGAGATCATAGGCATAATTATGGTTTCTCATGTGGGCTCTTATTTGTCTTTTTATCATTCTTGTATTTTTTGCCTTGGATAATGATTGGCTAACCGATTATAAGAATTGATGAAACTCTATCATTAACTTATTTTGATGTCATAGATCACACAATCATTTGGTCATTTCTTCCTAAGAGGTGAAAAGCCCTCTTATATGTTGATAGATTGATAGGGAGGGAGGGAGGGAGAGTGTCTGATTTTCTTGTGAGTTTTGCTACCTATGAGGGGACGAAATACAAAAAATTGACTAATAGTTGTTAATTAGATTTTTCATGTACCAATTACATCTTTACTCTTTCTGCGTGTTGTGAAATATATGAAATTTAAACCGATCGACGATGAAGCGAAAAAAAAAATAGAACGAGAAAATTCACACCAGAAAAACAGTAACACAGCGAAATACACAGATTTACGTGGTTTGGCAAATTGCCTACGTCCACAGAGTTGCATAGGATATTACTACTTGAGGAATTTACACCAGTCGATCACCTCGACTTACAAGAAGAATCTCTCACTCTCACTTCGTTGCTCTCTTTTCTTCTCTCTCTACACCGAGATACACCGAAGAAGACAAACTTACAAGAGAAATAAACTCAATTTCTCTTCTGCCACAAGCTACCAAGAAGAAGTCAAGGGAGAACAATCTTCTTCTTCTTTCTTCCTTCTTCCTCTTCCTCTACCGTAAGGAACTACTCCTCCTTGCAATTCTCTTCCACTGTCCCGAGAAAGCCCGAATAACTCTTCCTCTATCCCGAGAAAGCCCGAAGAAAAACTCAAAATGTGACTTAGAAACTAAAGGAACTGTCCGAAGTTTTTTATCACGAACAGGAGGAAGCGAAGAGATGCTTCACTTTATAAAAGAGGAAGGCGAGAGTGGTTATTTGTGAAGAGGTGTGACTCTCCAAAGTAAAGTAATCACCTAAGCATAGTGGACTGGGCTCCACCGTTTCTAGCAATTCTTTTACTTGGAGACCGGTACAAAGGCTGCAACATCTCCTCCCTCAAACTGATATCCTCCACTGGCGGTGTCGCATTTTTCTTCAACATGTATCCTCTACCTTGAATCCTCCAACTTGAATCCTCCACTTCTGCAACTCAAAGTCCTGTCTTCACTCCAGAAGACCAACAGAAGCTGTGTACAACTTCAGTTTCTCAAGAGTAACATCCATAGTTAACATTCCTTAGTTAACATATCAGCAGACTCCACATAGCTTTGCACCTCCAAGCTATTTCCTGGGTCACTCTTGTCTCTTTTTACAACCCCCACTGCATGGGCAACATCCTGCCTCTGCTGAAATTCTTTTTCAACAAGTTTAGCCTTGTAACTCTTACTAACATCACGCTCATTCTTCACCTGATACACCCACTTGTTGTGCAATGTCTTCTTCCCTGGTGGAAGTTCTATCAGCTCTCACTTGAACTTTCATCTTGCAAGATTTCTTCATAGCTCTGTGGTTCTTCAACATCTATCTATGGAACAGTAGAAATGGGTGCCCCAGACTCATTTTCCTCTTCACTTCCATCACTGCCATGCACTGTGGCCTCTGGTAGATTTCCTACCACATTTAAAGCCCCTGAATCCAATATCAAGTTTTCACCAGAACAATAAACTGTTAATAATAATGCATCCTGTGATTCTTCAGATCCCACATTTGCGCTATCATTCACCATCTTCTTAGGATTCATGTAGTTTTTCTTTATAAGGCCAATCTTGCCACAATTCCAACAGGTTGTCTGCTCACTAAACTTTGATTTTTATCTCCCTATACTTGAGTTCCTGTCATATCATCTCCCTTTGAAATCAACATTCAGTGCTGAACTCGAATCTGAGATCTTGCCAGAATTTTTCTTGCGAACTTCCTCAGTCAAAATCAAAACACGAATATTATCATATTTCAGTTTGGATTTACCTGCAGCACTGCTAACTGCTATCCTCATAGCTTCTCAACTATCTGACAATGAAGCCAACAAGATCAGTGCACATTTCTCATCTTCAAAATCAGTTTTCACAAACGACAATCAATTTGTGATAGTATTGAAAACATTCAGGTGTTGAGCAACAGAAACACCTTCCGCCATCTTCAAATTGAATAACTTCTTCATCAAATGCACATTGTTATTCGCCGATGACTTTTTCATACATACCTAATAAGGCTGCCATAAGATATACAGTTGTCTTTTCCTTGACGACGATGTGTGCAACGGATCTCGATAGGGTCAATTGAATAACCACCCGAACTTGAATCCAACAAATTTTATTCAGCCTCATCCATCATTTCAGGTCTTTTCCCCAATAACGGAAGATGAAGTTTCTTCCCATAAAGATGATCCTCTATCTACATTCTCTAATAACCAAAATCAGTGTCATCAAACTTCTCGATCCCTGAAACCTTCACTTCATATGCAACCATCATTCTTTCTCAGATCCAAAACCACGCTCTAATACCAGTTGTTGTGAAATATACAAAATTTAAACCGATTAACGATGAATCGAAAAAATAGAACGAGAAAATTCACATTAGAAAAACAGTAACACAACGAAACACAGATTTATGTGGTTCAATAAATTGCCTACGTCCACGGAGTTGCAGAGGATATTACTATTTGAGAAATTTACACCAGTCGATCACCTTGACTTACAAGTGGAATCTCTCACTCTTACTTCGTTGCTCTCTCTTCTTCTCTCTCTTTTCTTTTCTGTACACCGAGATATACCGAAGAAAACTTTACACCGAGATACACTGAAGAAGACAATCTTACAAGAGAAATAAACCCAATTTCTCTTCTGCCACAAGTCACCAAGAAGAAGCCAAGGGAGAACATTCTTCTTCTTTCTTCTTCTTTCTTCTTCCTTCTTCCTTCTTCTTCATCTACTGCAAGGAACTACTTCTTCTTGCATTTTTCTTCCACTGTTCCGTGGAAGCCCGAAGAACTCTTCCTCTATCCCGAAAAAGCCCGAAGAACTCAAAACATGACTTAGAAACTAAAGGAGCCATCCGAAGTCTTTTATCACGAACAGGAGGGAGCGAAGAGATGCTTCAATTCACAAAAGAGGAAGGCGGGAGTGATTATTTGTGAAGAGGTGTGACTCTCCATGTGATTATTTGTGAAGAGGTGTGACTCTCCAAAGCAAAGTAACCGCCCTAGCATAGTGGACCGGGCTCCACCGTTTCGAATACTGCGGTCTATCTTTTCCTGTGAGTATAATTCAGACTTATGTGCTTCTGCTATTCCACGTTGTACTTGTGGCCTCTTCTTGATATGTTCACCAGGAAGATGGCTTTATAACCATATTGCTGCCTTTTTCCCCCACCATCGCCACTTTGACCATTTAACAAGTAGAGATTTGAATGACATCCACAAGTTACAGAAGCAGATTTGAACCATCTCCAAGGTCCATTTTCATAATACGGTAAATTAAAAAGCTATTCAGAAACTGAAGGGATTTCCAATTTAGCTTCTTTCAAAGGGTTAAACATTTAAGTTGATATCCTTGGCTGACAGCTTGACCTATAAGCATGCACGACATAAAATCACCTGTGGCAAATGTTGTCATTTTGTAATTTTCCCATATATCTTCTGAATTAAATGTTAGCATATGGTAGGATCTTCTAGCTTTCTGCTTGGTTGAATGTTACTATTTAAGTGAAGAAAATAACACCGCAATTTCTTTTTTATTGGTTTTGGATGCAGTGAAGCATGTAAAAGCTTTCTCTCCCTGCCTCAGCGTCAGCCCGAGTTGATTAGCCATCAGCAGTCTATGGCATCACAAGCTATCCATCCACAGTGGAAGAGCTTCAATGATGCCAATGTTCGTTCCTCTTCTAGCTCTGACATGTCAATAGATGAACCAGAAGTTGAGCAGACTGACCCTGCCAAATCAGCGACTTTTCATAGTGATGCACAACTGCATAGCCTCAGCTCATATAAACAACAAAAGCAAGCTGTAGATGGAACAAATACTGCCACTACTGAGAAGCTGAAACCAAATTCACAGCATTTGGTAGATAAGGTGCTGGAAAAGGTGGATGATCGAGCTTCTGGTGTTGTATCTTCAGCTAAGTTTATGCAGCAGGCTGGAGGATCAAAAAGATTAACTGTACAGGATCGGATAAATCTTTTTGAGAGCAAGCAGAAAGAACAATCAGCTAATCCTAATATTGGAGGTGGCAGTTTTGGTGGTCCCACTGTTGGTAGATTGTCTGGAACTAGAGGGGAGCACCGTAGAAACCAGTCTGATGTTTCTGTGGAGAAATTAGTTTTGAGGAGATGGAGTGGTGCTAGTGACATGAGTATTGATCTCAACAGTAACAGCACCAGCAGCACTGACCGCAAAGAGAGTGGTAGCACTGCAGGCACTCCAACTTCTGCCAACTTGCAGCATCAAATTACTACTAGAAGTTCTGAGAATGATGATCGTGGTTTAACTGAGGCATCAAAATCTTGCGCTAGGTTGGGTTCTAAAAACAGCTTGTTGGCAACTTCTTCAACTTTCTCTACATCTCAGGGTCCTGATGGAACATTCCCAAACGGTCGTGAATCTCAGAGCAGGGATGCAGTTCATAAGCAAGTCATTGCTTCAGCCAACATGGAGCCACCTGGATTTTCCAAGGAGGAACAACCGAATGCTTGGAACCATATGAACTGTTCTCTGGAGGGTTTAGAGCATGGTGAAATGTGTGTGGAAATTGTTTCTCAAAGCAGAACAAAAGGCTTTTCCAACTCTAGAGAGGTTGTCATAACAAGAGAACCAGCAGCGTCTCAAACTAATTCCAGGTCTACTCCGGCGGAGCTTGTTTATGATCAAATGGTGTCTCAGATTCCTTGTAGAGCACCTCCAGCTTTAGCAGTGCCATCTGAGCTAAAAAATCAAGCTAATCTCTTAGCCCAACATAGAGATCAGAGTGAAGTAGACGGCATTGCTGCGAAAACTCAACGGACATCTGGGAACAAATTTAGGTCTTTTGCTGGCAAAATGGAAGATACTGGACTAAAATCTATGGGTGACTCAGATTCCCAAATCCAGTTTAAACCTTCCATGGGAAAGATAGAAGACATCTCTGCAAAGGATGACTCTGAGCATCCTAAAACCCAAGGTAGTGGTTTTAATGAAGTTCTGATGGCAACACATACAACTTTTACAGCTCCTCAGGTACCATCACAAGTTTTTTCTGCTAAAGCACGACAGGGTTCTGCTTCTGTGGGATCGAGAGTTTCTGGGAAACCATCTGGAACTGACAAGAAGTTTCAAGAAGGAGGGGGTGAATTAGTTCATGCCGAAGACAGCAGTGTCCAACCATTTCAGGGCAGGAAAATTAATGAGGGCATGGAAGCTCCTTTTTCACATGAGGATTCTCAAGCTGCAAGACTAAACAGGGATAATCACGAGCTTAATGACGCCCTTCACCTGAAGGCTGAGGAGTTAGAAAAGCTTTTCGCTGAGCACAAGCTCAAGAATCATGTTGATCAGATATCTTCTGCACGAAGAAGAAAAACTTTGCTTAATCATTCGGCCAGGTCTCTGGAGAAAAAATCTGCACTATCTCCTACTAAGCAAAAGCCTGAAAAGAGCTTACTGAGGCCGGATTCAAGCAATGTTGCTGAATTTGATTCTGACTTGTTGCCAGGAATGATTGAAAATTTTGATTTGTGTGATGCCAATTTGCAAAAGATAGGAAATCACCTTCCAACAGATGTTCCAAGAGGAAAACTCTATGGAAAATATATGCAGAGAAGGGATGCTAAACTAAGTCAGGAATGTGGGTCCAAGAAGGCTCAGAAGGAAGCCAAGATGAAGGCAATGCATGACAGCCTGGAGCTTAGCCATGCGGAGATGAAGGCCAAGTTTGCAAGTTTTTCTGATAGACAAAATCTGACATCTTCTCGTCATCGGCAAGAGAAGATGCGGTCTTTCAATGCTCGTTCAACTCTTCAAGTTAAGGACCAGGTACTAAGCTGACATTCTGAGAGCTTTTATGTTCTTAGTGCTTTTATGCTAAGTTTTTCACATATGTTAGTTTTATATGCCATTGGATCAGTTGCATTAGGCGTTTTGACATTTAAGCATTTGTGATGTATAATGATTTTGATTGAGTAGTGCTTATCATGGAACATAACCTATGTGGTCTATAATAGGCACATATTCAAGATAAATGAGGCTGCTAATAGTACGTACGTATTTATCGTTTTACTTATATTTGGTTAGTTCTGGTTGTGTTAAGCTGATAGAACTTATGCTACTATTGTATTTCCTGCAAAAGTACTGTTATTTTAGTATTTTCATTAGCCATCAAATTCTTTCTTACTCTTTACAGCAAAATTGGTATCAGTTATGTTTGATTAATCAAGGCGTATGGTTATTTGAGCTTACTAGCATATTAGTAAATTCTTGTAGGAAATTGTTATTTAAGGAGGATGTGAAATATTTTGTAAGGATTTATGTTGATTCTATCCTTATTTTATTTCATCTCCTTAATTTCTTCCTTTTCTGTTCAATCTTATATGCCGATTCGTTGAATAAGAGCAATAAAATTTTTTTCATGCAATTTATTTTCAGACGGGGAAAATTCTTTCCTAGCCGTTAATTGCCTTCCTTCACCCATGTCTGTAACCCATTGCTTGCAATTCTCGTTGCTCTTGCTCTTCTACTTGTTCTTGACTCTTTGTTATGTCGCTGCTTACATCCACACCTTGCTCAGACTCTAGTTTATTTTTCCTTCTTTCTGTGAGATACTTCATTGTGGCGCAACATCCCTCATCTTGCTTCCTTGTATTGCTCTTCCTTCTCCCACTCCTGAGATCTAATCTTGCATGGGCATGGGTTCCACCTAATTGCTATTGCAACTATACCAAATAATTCTGAAGTATAGCTATGTTTCCTGCATTGCTACAGTCACATCTACACATGCATCCTTGCATGCCAATAATTAGTCCTAACGAGATTTTTTTCTCCCCATATGCCCTGATGAACTAGCCTTGCTTCCAGTGCGTCGGTAATCGTTCTATTGCATATTTGATTTTTCCAACATAATAAGTATCTCTTAGATTCTTTGAACTCTCTTCTAGATTTTAGACTCCGTCATTTTTTTAAGAAAAAATCTTCCGCCAACTGAACATCACTACCATAAATAACTCTGCAGATTGCCCACATCCAGCTCATGTTTTGCTATTTTCCCTCGAGATAATTATGATCAAATTCTTTAATAGGTGAAAACCAGTATATCAGTGTCATAGGCTTTGTCCAATATTTTTTTTCTATCGGTGAAGTATGATAATTCAACATACTAAACATCATTACCATAAATAGCATCACATCTTTAGGTTCTATTATTGCTGTCTTCACTGATATGACTTTGGTTTAGATTTAGTGGCATCCTGCCTCATGACAAGTAATCAACGCTTATATTTCTTCATTGCACATGTTTCATTTGCTACGTATTGTTGTTACTGATGATTCCCCATCCTTAATTTCTGGAAAAGTTATTGTTCAGTCTTCTCAGAATCTTGCACTCTTAGATGTATTATATCTTCCTCAAATTTCAATAAATTTTCTATCTATAGATCGTCTTATTACAACTCATAATTGTTTTTTTTACCTTTTATCCCACTCATTACCTTTAAGGATCCTAGCTCGAAGAAGACAATTGTTAGGGTTATTGAATTTGGAGTCATCTGCTTCGTAACACTTGCTCTTCTTTTGTCCTTATCTCCACTACAACTATTTATCAATGCCACCTTCGCTTTGAACAACTCATTTTTCTTCAACCCGAGGAATTTGTTTCCTCTCTTCCAAATTATAATGCCTTGCTTGCAAATTGGGTAAAAAAATAATGTGCTTCCGTTGTATACTACTAGTCGTCTTCTTTCTTTTGAATTTTTCACTTCGATATTCGGGGTTGAAGGCCTATGCTCACTCCCTCAAGATTCCACTATTTGTTTCATTAATTGATGATCATTTTCGAGTGATTGATTATGCTTATTAAAATGTTGGTTAAAAGTCCTTGATATTTTTGGCAAGTTTAATCATGATGAAGCAAAAGTTTAGTTTTATTTCTTTACACTTGTTCTTCTTTTGTCGTCTCCACTACAACTATTCAAGGTATTGCATTTGGAGGCATCTACTTCTTAACAATTACTTTTCTTTTGTCCTTACCTCCACTACAACTATTTAGCAATGTCACAAGCGCTTTGAACAACTCATTTTTCTTCAACTCAAGGAATCTGTCACCTCTCTTCCAAATTATAATGCCTTGTTTGCGAATAGGGTAAAAAAATCATGTACTTCAGCTTTACACTACTAGTCGTCTTCTTTCTTTTGAGTTCTTTACTTTGATATTTGGGGATTGAGGCATATTCTAACTCAAGTTTAAAAAACTATGTAAAACCTTAGTAGTTACCGTACTAAATGGAAAGAAAGGCTAGGCATACTTCAATAGGAACATATATCAAAACAGTAAATAAAATAAAAATTGAGCCATACATGAGCTCGACAAACTATATGGATTGAATTTAGGCCCAACTCATTGACTCTAAGGGCTAGGTTTTTAGCTGTTGGTTACCGATTTTGATCCTCTTAGATCATGCTAAGGCATCATGTATTCATTTTCTACAACCTAATCAAGGTTTGCTTGTAATATCTTGTTGTCGAGTTTATGATGTTAAAATTGGCAAACGGGAATAAACTGTTAGACGGTAAAATGAAATTTTCTTTATAACTAACAGTTTATAATCCAAATGAATCGAAAGAGCTATTAATGAAAGTAAATTAAAGTAATATAATTAAATTTATCTTATTTATCCTAAATTAAAGTCTTCTATAAATATTTTATCTTTTAATCATTTTTTTAATCAAATGATTAACTCTAAAATATTAATTTAAAAGACTAAAGCAGTGAGTATGTTTACTTCTAAACTACAACAACGTAATGAAAAGTAAATAATATGCATGCTAATCAGAAATACTATAAATCAATATAATAATATTGTTTATTTTACCTTTTCAAATATATTTGTTCACGATAGTTCTTAACATTCAATGCAGTTTACTATATTAATAACATGTCTATTTTATTTTATATTTGACCAACCGTCATGGGGCATCTTCTAAAATTGTACTAATGAAGGTACATCAATATTATCTTTTTCCAATTACGTGCATATGTACCTTAGTGTTTCATCGCTAGTACTATAATGAGGTGAATTCTATCATAATCAAACATGCATATACAATCAGTCAACATGGTTCTTATTATTCATATATTCTTTTCATTCAATTTTACCTTTAAATAATGCATACTATTAGTATTTTTAAAATAAATATTCATCACAATGATATGACCAACATCTAGAAGAGCATATAAATCACAATAAAATAGTGCAATCAGATTTACGCTGCAATCAATGATCTCAATTTAGAAGAAGCAAAAACTACTATAACTTATAAGGGTACTCACCTTGTTACAAAAAGTGTAAATAGTAATCCTTATTTTTGATGTTGTAATTGATTCTTCAAAATGTGAATTCATATATATGAACACAAATTAAAATATAAGATGCATTTAGTTGTCTAACTTTTGACTTGTCCCTAAAATTCTTATTTGCATTTAATTATCTAATTCTAATATACTTTATTTATATTTTCTAATTTATAATTATCTTATTTATAATTAATATTTCAATTAATAAATTAAAATCTTTTATTCAAAACATAATCTCCAATCTTACCTCCACATTTGCTATTGTCAATTCCTTCGCATTCCAATCCAAACATTCTTTCGTTTATTCTTCCTGCCAAAATTTAGTTTAATCTCACATTATACTTAAATACAAGATCATTTTAATCTAACAAAAATCTAAATTAAAACCCGAACCTTATTTAAAGCTTTACTGGGGTTGTTGCCTCCTACGGAAAGCCCTTTTTTTCCTCACGAATTCTCTCTGTTCTTATTTTAGCATAGAATCGACAATAACCAGTTTGACTATCTGCAACCCTGGAATCGACAATCTTTCTCTAATCGTACACCTCACTCATTCGATACGAGTGTAAGTCCCGTCGAGCCCTCCGCCATCATGTTTGCTCGATTCCACACACCAAGAGTTGCTAGCTCTCTTTCTGCTTGGTTTGATCATAGTTTCTCTCATTTTGAAACTGCCGAATTTGCTTCGTCGCCTTCACCATCTCAACGGCTTCACCTCCTTTGGCTTTGATCGCTAGAGTCGTCACTCTCAACACTACTATCTACTCTTTCTAACAAAGGATTACATACGACGGTCGATTACTTGCGTGTCTTCTTCGATCTAGCACACGATCCCATGGGCTTCTTCCTCCTCCGATCCTGTCGCTTCTTCCTTCTCTTCCAGCCTAGTCTTCCTCGACACTCAAATCCATGCTCGAGTGCTCACACCTCCGTCGCTGCCTTTATACGTGTCGATTCGCCCCACAGGTATGCTCGCATTCACTATCAGAGTCGTCACCCTCGTCTCTCTCCCTCTGTCTCTCCTGATGTCTCTGCTAGCTTCTCAAGATTTTAAAATTGTTCCGGTTCAAAATGGTGGTTGTTTATTCTTTTAAAGATGGATGTTCGCGCCTCTCACTCGATATGACTCCTCTGCTCTAACGGTGATGCTAACTGGAAAAAAATATGGGGCAATACAAGTTTGTTGTTACAAACCCAGCCAGGCCTAGGTCTCAAATATTGATCGGTAAGGTTGAGTTCCTGACTTTTCAGCCTGGAGCCAAGGTTCATACTATATAAATTCCTAACCTAGCCAAGGCTCCACGGTATCAAAATTCTTGAGCTTGGCCGTGCCTTGCTCTTCAAATATGATAAAGCATTTCCTTTTAATCTTTATACTTTGTGAAGCTTTTTAATTGTGGTAAGCCATAGATGGTAATATGAATGCCCTGACGTCACAATTAAAGTTTCCTGACTTAGCAGCCCCATGCCACTGCTTGTTTAATGGCTTCATGCTAATGATCACAACTAACTAACATGGGAACTTGTATTTTTAAATGTCGTCATCCTTAAGTTCAGAGCAATGGTGGTGGGGATTTCCTACTAATTATGAGCACTTCTAGATTATTCTTTTATATTTATAAAATTAGTTTAGAAAACTATTTGGAACGGTACTAATACTGGCTTTTAAGTGCAAGCACACACTAAGCTGTTATATTAGTGTGTTTGATTTGTGTTCCCGTAGAATTATTATCTCAATTGATAATTTGAGCTAGTCTTTTGTCGAAGTAATTACCTTTCCTGAGTTTGAACATTTTCATGATACGGTTGGCTGTTCCTGTTGGCTTAATAATGGCATAGAACCTGGTATTTCGGTTGCAAACCTTCACTAGCACTATTTTCTTCATTCAAAAGTAATTTCTTGCTGATGAAATGATTATTTTTTAGTTCTGTAGCGAGACATCAGGGTCCTTTACTGGAGATGGGGATGCTGATGATCGAGAACTGTCTGAATCTTCTATTGGCAATCAATCCAACAAGCTTTTATCCTCCACTTTTTTTACATCGGTAAGCCATACTTCGAAGCATTTGGTAAAGTCTACTAATTCCAACTCCTCAAGGCATAGAGGACAGTCAGGAAATCTTGTTGCTCAATCAGTTCTGACATTCTCGGACTTGAAGAATGAAAACGTAAAGCCATTGGCTGTGGTTACTAAGGCTATGGCTCACGAGCATCCAAGAAGCTTATCAATAAACAAGAGCTCCATTAAGGATGCAGAGATTTCGAAGGAAGATCTTCGTTGGTCTAACCATATGAGGAAAAATTCAGTTACTCCCGCTGAGCCGAAGGATTTGTCATCTCCCAATTCTGACAACACTCTTCATAACATCCAAATGAGCTACGAGTCTAAACGGTATCTCAAAAAGGGAAATGGTGTAAACCATGGTTCGGGAGCTGTTATGGGAAAATCAAGAAGCTCCATAGCTGCTGAGGAGCTTAGAAGCAAAGAAAAGTCTGAAGAAATTGTCAGTCCTAAGGAAGATTCACTAGATATGGCCATTGATGATGAAGAATTTCAAAGTGCTTATGCTGAAAGAAATAATCTGATTATGGATCTTCCTATCGACTCTAATGGTGAAAAACCACGGCACAGCCAATTATCTGGTGAACCTGAATCAGAAAATGGTGACCTTATAAGGCCTCAATCTCATCTAGATGATTCTTCTATCATTTATTCTAAATTCAGCTCTTCTAGAAATGCTGAGGACTCCGCGGAAGAAAGTTCGAGATCGTTGACTTCACATATTTACCATTCACATGCTTATACACGTGAAGCATCAGATATTTATGCAACTTCTGATTTTAATACTGATTGTACGTCGTGGAATTCTCATTCGCTAAACCATATAGTGGATTCTGAAGCAGCTCGTATGAGGAAGAAATGGGGAAGTGCTCAGATTCCTGTCATTTCTGCCAGCGCCTCCCAACAATCTCGCAGAGATGTAACAAAAGGCTTCAAGCGATTATTAAATTTTGGAAGAAAAAATAGGGGTGCAGACTATCTAGTAAATGATTGGTTCTCTGCTTCAACCGCCTCTGAGGGTGATGATGACACAGAAGATGGACGGGATCTAGTACACAGGCCCACAGAAGATCTTAGAAAGTCTAGAATGGGTTACAGTACAACATATGATGGATACAATGATGGTGACATCTTTCCAGAACAAGGTAAATGTGCCAATTTCTTATAAGCTTTCATTTATTCAATTTCTTGTTTGATTCGAACATATGATTGAGAAGAACTATTTTTTGCGATCTATCCCAATTTTATCAATATTTTTATGGTATTATTGTCAAGAATTAATAATCTTTATGCTCCTTACCACTGGTTCTTATCAACATTATTTAACTGACGAGATTTTGATGATAGTCTGGCTAGCATGTCGGAGAAAGATATATATTTTTTCCAATTTCTTTTGGCAATATGAATTATATGCATTTTTAATGACTTTGCGACCATTGCTATTAACCGTCAGAAAGCCTTGAAATTGCTAAAAACTTCAACAAAAACTCTTATAGCTTGTTTAATGATTGTAGTTAATGAGCTGCATTTGGGTTAAAAATGTCAACTCATTTGTTGCTTTAAAATGTTTCAAGTTTAAATGCATTTTTTGTGCATTTTCATTTTGTGCTCTATTGACCAGCAAACTTATGATCAAGTTGCTTTCATTCACTGCATCTCGTTTTCATATGCCCGTAGTTTTTCTTTTCTTATGAAATTATTTATTTCTTTTATCAAATTCTGCTAAACAGATCCTTAACTTTTCTTTTCTCTATTACTTGGTAGTCACCCTCATGCTAACAAACTGCTCCTTGCAAATTTCTTTCTTGGACAATCATTACTTACTGTAAATCATTATTAATACAGCACACTCCCTCCGCAACTCAAACCAAAACCCTCCTACAAACTTCAGGTTGAGGGATGATCATCTATCAGGGAACTCTCTAAAAGGTGCTTTGTTCTGCCTTTATTTTAAATATTATATTGCTCAATTTTGTAAATCTTATGGAGAGAATAATCATTGTTATACTCAATTCTGCTAATAATGACAAATGGTTGGAAGATTTTATAAATAAGTTCATTCAAAACGGTTTTGAATTTTAAACTTGAAATTTTGCAGCGCCTCGCTCGTTCTTCTCCCTCTCATCATTTCGGAGCAAGGCAGGTGATTCCAAGCCCAGATGACTCGTGCCAGTAGATTGAAGACGATATATATACACTATGGGTAGATTATGAAGCATTTTAATAATCCGTTTCCTGGATCTCTCTCCCCCAGCTTCAATTTTCAGTTTACATAACTCATGGTTGGTTGGTTGGTTATTCAGGCGATTTCTTTTTGATTTGTGTGTTTGCAGCAGTTTTGTGAAAGCCATGTTGTAGAAATTCATCAGGTTAATTATCCTGTTTGTATGAAATATTGTTCATGACTTGGTGGTTCGCTCATGGTGTTTTCCCTGCTCTCATAAATGTACTGCAATATATTTATGTTTCAGCAGTCTATTTGATTTTGTACAAATCAATATGAGAAGCTCGGCCTCTTAATTGCAATTTTGTGCTCTATTTTAAACCCTTAGCCCCATCATAGTCGGGATAGCATTTTAAACCCTTAGCCCCATCACCACTAAAAGCAACCTGAGTTATATCAAATTATATTCATTTTCTTGAAAAAAAATAAATCATAATAGATAATTTGAACAATTTTATATCACGATTAAATGCTATTCTTTAAATTGTTAAAAATGAAACCAAAGGTTCTTCTTAACATAATGCATATTTTGTGAATCTAAAATAATTTGTGGTAACTATTAGTCTCGCTTTTCTAAAAGATGCATTGATTCTTGATTTTTATCTGATTAATCATTAGGTTTTTATCCGTCGGATGTAACAATTGAGATTTTGACCATCATAGATTGATCACTAATTATGTTATTATTTATTTATAAGAAGCATGAATAAAAAAATTTCTTTATTTTCAACAGATTCAAATAAGCCTGTTTTTTAATGAATTCAAGAAAATATTGATCAAATGTTATTTTTAAAATGAAATATTTTTCACATTGAAGATTGTAACTTTTTAACAATACTAACTTCTTTAGAATGGAAGGGTTGGTTGTCTTCATGGTAAGGAGATGGAGGGGAGGTTGTTGGTCGTCCTTTGGCCATCACCCATTATTTTGTGGGGTTGTATTCCTCTAATGCGATATGATTTTGGCCATTTTCAAACGTTCAACCAAAGTTTTCAGCTGTTGCATGCATAAGGCGTATCAAAATCATTCTGCTCTCAGCCTTTAGGACAAGATAACATGTACATTTGTGAGTTTCAGATCCCATATTTCCATTATCTCCTTTGGAATCAAGTTATATAAGTGTGAAGGCTCTCTTGTTGCCTTTACCTGACCTGACACATGGCTTGTGAATTCTTCTGTGGCTTCTTTGTGTTGCAAACCATGTCATGAACTTCTTCTTGAACTCAACAAAGGATGTGATTACCTGAACGTGTAATCCGTTAAATCATCTTAAGACTGGCTCCCTCTGCGTGGTGAAGAAAAGACGACACTTCAGAGCATCAATGATCCTCAACAGGCAGACAGTAGACATAAAGGAGGCACTTTAGTTGGTCGGATCAGTTTGACCTTTGTAAGAGTTGAGTGACGATACTTTAATTTTCTCATGGGATTCAACGGTTGAAATTTGCTGAGAGAATGCATTCTCCAACTAGTGAGGGGCCTTAGTGCTCTTGAATCACCGTCTATCCATCTACGTGGATTTAGCATTATCTTGGTATGAGGGATCCTCTACTCTTTCTTTGGGCAACAATGTTTTCTATGTGTTGAGCTTCAGTTCCTTCTAGGGGTTGTCCCTTCTCTCTGTCATTTCTTCTCTGATGATCTCTAATAGTTGGCTCAACAATTGTCCTCTTAGCTCATGGATCTACTGCCATACAAATTCCCTAGTGCACTCCATGTTCACTGCATCTCCTTAGCGGGTTTCTTCTCTTTGTTGTGCTCATCTTCTTGTTGGTAGCATGATCCATGCTCATTTCATCTTTCAGGATGTTGAACCTGAATTTATCTTGTTAATCACACCCAAGGAATAGAGCGTAGAAAAGTAAAGAAGTTGAGAGAGAAATAGGAAGATCACAACAATGAACAATAAAGTGAAAGGATTGTGCAAACTTTTATTCTTAAAATGATCACTATTTATAAACAAAGGGGAAATAACATATGATTTATATTTACATCGCATTTAAATTGGGATTGTACAAGCTATTCTAGTTATTTTACCCTTGTGGGTCCAGGACCTTGTTGTTCTCTCAGCTTGATCGACTGGACTGAATACAGAATCGTCAATCATGCCTATCGGTTGTACTTGTTAGTGTTGCATGGTGTAACGTTGTTGGTCAGCTTGCTGATTGCAGGTTGGTAGGACTGATATGATCATCTGAGTTTTGTCGATCGATGAGAATAGTCCAGTCGACCCTCGATCTTCAGCGAGTGGTTTTTATCGATAGGGTAAAACTAGGCCATCGAAAATAGGGTAAATTACAGTAATCCGACAGGTAGCCTTCCCTTAGACTAGAGAATCCTGGTGGGATGGTAGAGACTTGTACTCTTTTGGTGGCATTTGGGGGAGACAAATGAGTGATCCCAATATAGCAGCCATGGGGCTAGCCTCTCCTTCGGCCAAATTTCATTGATTTGGCATGCCTGCACGATTCTTTGTTTGTCGTCTGATGAGCTGCTTGGGCTGATAGCAGCTTGACATCCCTGGTGACTTAGGCAGTCTTGATTTTGTTATATCTAATTGGATATTTGGATCGTAAATCTGCATTTCAGTGGACTTAGTTGATATTAGGGCCTTTCTCCTTAAATCGTTGGATCTCCTTAAGATTTGTGCATTCTTATTTTCTTTGTACATCTATATTTTTAATATTTTTATCCCCATCAAGGTAGTTCTAATGCAACATATCTATCACATTTGCTTCGCTTTTATAACTCCTTAGGTGGGGATTCTCCAATTTCTAACCTTATAATCAAGGAAAATTTAACAATATTATATATACTATCTTTTTTCCTTAAAATTGAACACAAAGAAGTAATCATCATTCACTTTCTCATTAACTATCCTCAATAATAGCTGATAAAAGTGAGCCCTAAAAAATAACATTTCAGGAACTTTGAACAACTAGTTGTTGACCTCATTTTCAGTGAGGTCTTAGTCTCCTACTACTAGAACACATGATCTAGCTTTAGAAGTTCCTTATTGACCATCTTAGAGGACTAGTAATGGAGCCCACCTCCCCTTGACCCATTTTTGTGAAGACCTCGCATGGGTAGTCTCAAGAACCACACTCTTAGTTGCAATGGCTAAGGACTAACATGTATATGACCCGAAAATGAGTTCCTACAGGATCAAACGACCTTAGGTAAACCATCCATGACTCGAACACTCACGAACGCCGCAATTCACGCACTCACTGCACCACACACGATGTTGACTTGAATTGACTTGCTTATCGGCGAACTCGTCCAGAAGACCCCATATGATGAAACAAACCGCACGGATGCGTCCGGGACGTCAAATTTAGCTAAGAAGACACCCATATCATTATGGTTTCGCGCACGAGCAATCAACACGAAAATGAATGCATATTTTTTTTATTTAGCAGGGCGAGGGCCCGGGCTCAACCAACGTTTAACTTAAATTCGATTCGTGCTAGTCTCAGACTGAACAAAGGTTAAACAATTTTAAATTTTAAAATTTCAAATTTCCAATGAATCATTTAATTTTAACTTAATTAAATTCATTTGGAAACTCCTCTGCCTACGTAAACTATTCAATTCCCCGCCATTTGCTTAAGCTAACGGCTCGTCTGTCCCGCTCCTTGGAGGCATTAGCTCCTTCTTCCTCCCCCATTTGACTCTCTTCCGCGCTCTCGACAATCGCAGCTCCCCTTCTTCTCGCGCTGCCGTCTACTTTCTCTCTCGTGCGACCGAAGCCCCTGATTACCCTCTCGCGTGACCGAAGCTCTCTTCGCCGCGTCTCCTCTCTGTGCTGAAGAATCCCGCTAGCCTGCCTCGCCGACCTCTCCACCGAAAGCCCTCACCTCCTCCCTCTGCGCCAGAAACACTCGCCTGCTTCACCCTCGCCTCCTCCCTCTCACGACCACCTCCTCTGCACCGACGTCCTCTCACACCAAACAACCCTAGCCGAAACTGCTGCTCCTTTCCCTTTCCGATACAACCCTCTTGCGCACCAAAACCTGCTCCCTTTCTTCGTCATTTCCTCCACTGCCCGAAATCCCTATACAGTAATTTTGTAACTTAGAGCCTCACGTCACTTGGTATCCAAGCCTCCCACCTTACTACTCTACAATCTGTGAGCATCAAGCCTCTACTTATTTGAGATTAAGGTGAAGTTAAAAGGGAGGTAAGTCTTACAATTCTATCATAAGATTTCCAATTTCATCGTAATTGTTTGGGTGAAAGATGAGATTCAAATTTCTATGCTTCAGTGAAATGTGAAATTCAGGCTTCTCCGTTTTAAGGGCTTGCTTCGTTTTAGCTATATTAAAAGGGGAGGTTTTGTAGCATGCAATGATTGCATGATGTGCAAGCAGAAATTTATGTTACCAAAATGCTTAGGGAATAATTAGATATTTGATTAGTGATGAAGGCATTATCATGACATATACATTCTTGACCCTGTTACAGTCGAGTTCTTTTTTTTATTTTCCCATTGACTTGTTAAAAGATGAGGTTAGGAACTTGAAACGCCATGGATTATTCTATATTCTTGACTAAATGCTCTAAAAGCTTGATTTTTTTATGTTCATGTATAGAGTCTGAAATTTCTTATACACTCATCTATCCAAAATCTGACACTTCCATCTATTTTCATTTAATAAAACCTGAATTTTCTTTCTTTTTACATATTGAAAGTCTGAAACTCACGCAGTTCGATCTATGCAAATAGGAATCATATTTGGCTTGGTTTTATGTGAACTGGGAATTCATTTCATTCGATTTATGCAAATCTGAAATATATTTGGCTTAGATTTATGTGAAATTTGGAAAATTTGGATGCATATCATATCATTCCTACGTATTTACATATTGAACAAATAAACTTCATTATCTGTTTACATGGATACCACTCTATCTATGCATGAACAAATATGTTGGTATTTTCTTCAACATGATATGAAATTTCGGCGGCGATAATCTAAAAGAGTAAGGTTTAGGGGTTGAATGTGTAGATATGTTTGAATTAAGCGGTATGAATGCAAACCTTCCCAATAGTCTCATATACTTCAACGCCAATCAAAGGAATGTTCAAATTCGATCTGGGAAACATGCGAAATGAGGACTATTTTGAAATGACATAAATGTTGTTTTGAGCTTCATGAACTAGCGCCATTGGAAGGGTAAATTGCTGTTTTGTTTGCTCTGTATTTCAACTGTTTGTGAGAGCTGTTTGGAGTGCTGTGAGAGCTGTTTGGAGAGCTGTGAGCGTTGTTTGAAGAGCTGTGAGAGCTTTTAGAGTGCTGTGAGAGCTGTTTGGAGTATTGTTTAGAATTGTAGGTGCTGTATGAGCTTACATGGTGTTATTCGGAGCACAATTAAGTGCTGTTAGGAGCTTGTAAAGCTGTTGGTTGGAACTCAATTAAGTGTTGTTAGGGGCTTGTAAAGCTGCTGGTTGGAACTCAATTAAGTTTTGTCTGGGGCCTGTAAAATTGCTGTTTGGAGCTCAATTATGTGTTGATTCAGAAGCTTTAAAACACTGATTTGGGGCATTTTGTGGGCTGATCTTGGGGCAATTTTGGCACCACTTTGGAACCACTTTGACACCGGTTTGGGTTGATTTTTGTGCACTGTTTTGGAGCTATTTTAGGTGCCAATTTGGGCTGATTTTGTACACTATTTTGGAGTCATTGTAGGTGTCGGTTTGGGCTGATTTATTCACTGTTTTGGAGCCACTATAGATGTCGGTTGATGGGTTGATTTAGGTGTTGTTTTTATAAGGTTATTGAAGTTAACTCTCATGTGGAAAGTCGAATTGAGTTTGACTGTTAAATATGTGAATACATTAGCATACATATTCAATACACTTGATTATTGACATACTTTTCATTACGTAAATCTGCACATTTATATGTGTAATCTTTCGTTGAACAGAATTCTCATACCAACTTCTTGGTGTGACTTTGCGAGGTAAATTCAAACGTGGTTAAAGAGTTAGATGATCGTGGAGCTACCATTGGAACAGACAAAATGGACGATATCAAACTTCTCGCCGGTGAGACCTCTCCAAAAAAAAAAAAAAAAAACAAAAAAAACCATTTTTCAATAAATTCAACAAAGTTTTCAAAACAAAACAAGTTTTCAAAAATTAAACAAAATTTTCAAAACAAAATAAAAAAAAAACATAACATATCCTTTTGAATTTACGGGAGTCCTCGGATGAGGTAACTCATGGTTGCCAATGAGATCTCTTCAGTTTAAATGAGCTTAACAATTCGTTTAAACTAAGTAAATTCAAAAGAGAATAGTGGTACTAGAACGAGGGAACCGCGAGATTCTAACCGGTATCGCTCTAATCAACTTTAACCCCCCCACTCATAATGCTTGAATGACAACAAAATCAAAATTTTGGAACAAACCTAGTAAACCCTTTTGAACTTTAGACTTTAGGACTGCTACCTCGACGTAGAACTTGGAACCAGCTTTGTGGGCAGCACGACAATGAGTTTGGATCGAGCAATAAAAGAATCTTCTTCAACAATCTCTCTCCTTAGTATAACAACTCATAGGACTTCGAGGTAGCTCGCTCAACGCGACGTAAATCCTCATACCCTCTTTAGGCCCCTACACAACCATGTTGTGCAGCGTAAGTCCTAACTTGTCTTAGGTTCTGAGGTTGTCGTGTGGTACGACGTAAATCCTCCTATCTCTGCAGACTATTTGCATAATCATATATTATGCAAATGTAAGTTTCAAATAATAAAATTGACAGGATTAAATACCTAAATAACATTGTCTCCAAAACTCAGCCACACATTATAATAGTTTGGGAAGTCACTGAGATTTCTCCTCAGGATCTGTGACATCTTTTATCTTTTCCTTTCTTTGGACTCTTGAAAATAACTGTTTCTTTTTTAGCCACTCCCACTCGTCTTTCCACGTCCTACCGTGAAAAGCTAAACTTTGAATTCTTGAAAACTAGCACATCTGATCATTATCGAGAGTTTTCTCAAGTAACTCCCGTCATTTGAGATGTAATCAACTATAGTATAGGAAACTTAGAACCCAGGTAAAATAAACTCTATTTAATCTTTATATTAAATAGGAGAACTTTTCAGTCACATATAAAAATGTTCGCAGGCCAAACAAATGTCACAAATCTCATAATTTGCAGGATTGGGTCCATCGCTGAGGTATACACTCATCTTTCGGGAAAGTATAGTATTGTTGTATCAGACACGATTATGCAAACTATTAGACGAATGAGATCCATTTGGTTTCATTTTTTCCAAAATTAAAACATACTACTTTCAAAACTCAAACTATATACCTTTTATATTAAATTAAATTTCAAAATTATTTTCAAAAATCAAAATAAAAAAGTTGACCGACACTAGCCAAAAGCATATGTTTTGACTTTACCAATAAAGCCAGAAGCCTACTATAACAATTTCTCCATCACACTCCCAACTCTACATGTAACCCACATAATGTCTTTTTTTTTTTTGCATGATTTGAATAGAAATATAAGATCAGCACACACACACACACAAGAAAAAAAAATGATTGTTCAATAATAACTAAAATGATTTTGATTATATTTTAAAAATTGCTAGATCATGATCAATAATATTTAGAAAACAATTATATCATTGCACGTTGTTCAAAGAATACTCAAACAATATTCAATGATTGTTCAATCTTACTCTAATAAACTACAAGTAATGTGATAACTATTGACTTTTTGAGTTTAGGGTTTAAAATGCAAATACTATATTTAATCACAAATAACCAACAAATAAAATATAATGTATAAATTAAGAGATATCATTATCATGGAATTTTATTATAGCGAAGGTGCATCGCGCTCTGCAACTATTGAAAAGAAGAGTTTGGGAAGATGAAAGGTTTAGGATCTTTTATGATCAAAAGGTCATGTATGTTCATCGAGAGTTTAGAATATTTATTCAAAAGCTAAGATAAATTAGTTTGAAGGGAATTCATGTGGCATATTTTCTAAGAAAACAAATAACAAGCTTAATCTCTAAGTTTTATATATTTAATATATTTTAATACTAGACTAAAAAAATAAGTAGATCCTCTCTATTACTTTTCCTAAAAAAGAATAACAATTAAGTGGTAATGCCTATTTTCTAATAATCTAGTTTATCTTTTGGGGGATGGTTGAAATCATAATCAAATTTTCTAATTATTATATTACTAGAAATTATTAATTTAAATAATTTAGTTATATTGATAATAAAAAAGAATTTGAATTCTTAAAGAAAAACTCCATGAAAATAATTAGTTGTATAGTCATTATCTTAGGTATTTAAGAAGATTTTTTTTTTTTTGGTTGAAAAATTGAGTATTGAAGTGAAATTTGATAGGTTTAATATTGACAACAATTAAAATTTTTTATCACCAAAATTAGGTGCCATACTAATTTTATGAATTTTTTTTATCCGTTTCTTTTGAATGAGATATATATATATGGTATTAAAAAATGGAAAATTTTGTATTTTGCATGTATATTCAAAGTATGGCATACCAAAGTGATGCTATCATAGTAAGATAAATTGGAGTTGATCTTGATACATCAGTAAATAATTGCTAATGTATTTACTTGTAGTTCTATCTTTATATTATCTTAAACGTAATTATTCTCTGTGATTGATAGTCTTTTTACAAATGTATTATTTATCACCAAGTCAATAACATAATGAATAATTAACATTTTTGTTGGAAAAATGAAATTTGTTAGCAAGATGGAACAATGACAATTTTTGTAATAAGAGCTAAATAACTAGATAACTTCTAAGATGATGTTGCTCAATCTTCTCCTCTCAAGCTAACCCAAGATTCCTCTATATTTTCCTTCTCCAACTTTATGCTTTAGGGGAGTATGATGATCTCAAAACCATTTGAGATTAAAGGAGAGTGTTGATATTAGTACCACTTTTATAAAATGAAACTTAGTCATTATATCATAATTTGAATTTCTTTTAATTTATTCACATTTTATTTTATATATATATATGCCTAAATTAGTTCTCTTTTTTTTTTTCTAAGATTTACATCAATAGCTAACAATAATGAACAGCACACAAATATATTTATGATGAGCATAATTTGAACAAGAGTTTATTTTGAACTCAACTCATGTTTGACTCATTTAAAACTCTAATGCAGAGTTGTCAAGAAAGTGAGGGCCACCCAAAATATTGATATTTACAGATTAACCACCCAATTGATTTATCTGAACTAATTCGATAAAAATGAAAAAAGTTGACCGAAGATTTTACAATCAATTTTGATATTCAAGTGAGAATTTGAAAAATGGATAAAAGAGGACGGTTGATTCGTCACCGACAAGTTTCGCATGGTCTGCTTGTAATTACCCCAATTTGTTTATATCGAATGTGAAATTCATGATACTTAACTTGAATTAGAGTAATTTCATATTCATCAAGCCAAATATGAAGACAATCGATTGAGATCGGCTAGATAGTAATTTAATCACTCTTGAATACACTATAATCTATCACCTAAATTTTAAATTTTACATGCATACCACTCCACCTTTTCTTGTAAACGTCTATTTCATTTCTTAAAGATAATTGAGATTTAAATGTGAATACATTGCATTATGTAATCATTCCAACCATCAAATTAGCCCATTACTTGGTACTTCATTAATATTTGGCAACCCATGCAACTAAACTCAACGCATACATTCTCCTAAGAAAAGAAAAGAAAATTGCCTGAAAAAGCTCAAAGATGAGCTTCTTTCTTTAGAAATATCATTTTTTTTAATCAAATAGCACATTCATAAGTATTCTATCTAAGAATCTAACATAATCAAGAAAATATTAAGGTTAAAAAAATATATATATATATATTATAGGTTCTGACCAACATGAAGTGATTATTTGTAGGGACCAAATAGAATTGAAGAATTGTGACCACCAAATCCAAAAGAGTTGGACAATGCCACCTTTATATTCAAATGCTCCTTTTTAGAGCCCACAAGGACACGTGTATCCTGAAAAGAAATTAAGATATATTATCATTAAAAATGAAAATAAAAAGAAAATTTTTCTTGTGCATTTACATATTTCATGTTCACACTTGTAATGCCTCGGTATCATATGCTTATGCATGAAAAGGAATATTTCAGTTTTAAAAAGATAGTGATGATGATATTTTTGATGTGATGTTGAAAGTTTTAGTATGTATATAAATATGAATGTTTAGGGGTTGGATATGTAAAAAGGTAAGAATTATGTGGTATGTAAATGCCCCAATAATTTATAAAACAGCTATAGTGAGTGTAAGCTCAAGTCAAAGTGGTGAATATATGATAGAAGAACATGAACTTCCTGAATATATATATATATATATATATATATATATATTGTTCCGCAAATTTTTTTCTTGCTTGCCGGAGAAAATTGTTTTAAAAACAAGGGAGGCAACTGACCAAGCATCTAAGAGAGATTAAACTAATTTGGCAATTTCATTAAAAATCTACTTTTATGCAAAAACATGAAATGTTTCATAATATAATAACAAAGAGATGAAACATCACAGGAAGGCATAAATGTTTACATGATTTGGCCGAAATAATAGCCTGCATTTGTTTGAGAGAAGAGACTAATTGATCAATTATGGAGAAGTCGTACGCATGTGACAGCAGATAAATCATCAACAATGATCTTTCTCAAATCTAGATAGGATCAATATCAAAGAGATCAGCAATTGTTTTATTATTTTTTAACTTATTATCCCTGTAGTTTTTCTCTTTTTTTATTTTTAAATTTCTAATTTTCTCTCTCCCTCTCATTTGAAGTTCTAATTTTTCTCAGCCCAAAGCACAGCAAACAGTACGTATGGCCAATCAGTAATCATGCATGTTATTTATAAGCGTTCAGAGAGGTGCATTTTAAATATAAATTTGATTAAGATTTTGATTTGAAACTAATCCATAATAATAAAATATATATAAAAAAATATGAAACCTATTAATTTAAAACCATAAAAATTTTAATTTTATGCTTGTTGTAGTAATATAACTGAGGTGATATGCTAACAATTCCTTTCCTTGATTTAATAATGCAACAATTTTTTTATCTCCTTCTCAACTCCCCTGCAAAACAGACTCTAAGATTCCAAAGCTCCAAGGGCTAAGCACCACAGATGATGCTTAAATTTAACACCAACAACAGACTATAAAGCATATATGGTACCATTAAAGTGGATTTACTCATGATGAAGGTGTGTTGATCATCGGATTTTAGTACCATAAATTTGTCCTTTTTAATTGGATGTCGTAATGATAATACCTTAACATTGCACCTTCCTAACTTTCAAAAACTGAAAATATTGCCATAAAGCTAATACTTTTTGCTTCCCCAAATAAACTTGTTCCAATAAAAATGACAAAATTGAAGCAACTCCATTCACCCTACAACACAAAGTCCACCAATTCTCTTTGCTTTTATAATAAATCATACACCATCATAAACTCTTAAAACTTCAATATCTCCTAAAAACCTACATCCTACTTTACTTACATGATACAGCCAAACTACAAAAATATCATCATATTTGACGTTAGCATACATCGAAAGAACATCTAAATCTATATCTGACCACTTTCTACCCTCATTATACTTGTGTTTGTCAATATCATACTCTTCTTCTTTAAAGCATTTTTATAAATAAGTTGCATCTTTAAGCATTCCAAGAGACTTATATCATGCTAGAGCCAGGCATTTCTCATAACACCCCTCACTAACCAGTAATTCCACAACCTATTTTTCATCTCCAGCAGCATCAAGTTTAGTAATTACATAATTAAAAGAAGTCAATTCTTAACATCTTTAAGCTAATTGTAATTTAATAGGACATTATCATAATCATAAGATGAACGCAAAGAACATAAGAATATCAAACTCGATCATCATCAACAACTATCACATTTATATTACATCATTTCCCTAACAAAGAAACTAAATCGATTCAGAGGTAATTTAATAGGCAAGCATTCTTGTATGCAGAGCAAGCACAAATTCTACCTATGATAAAGTTTGTTTGAGAGGGTTTTGATCATGTAGGACTTCAATTAGAGCAATAACTCTTCAGAGTTATTTGCTCTAAGAGCTCATTTTTCAAAAATAATTCGATCTATGATAGTTTTTGCCTTATATCTCCTTATCATCTTCGCTTGTAATCTCAAATAAAATTTGAATACCCTATAAGTGCTTTCACAACTCCCTATTTGACCATCATAACTTACATTATGGTTCTTTAGAATCCAAAACTCTACCAAGTCATAATTTACCAATTGCATACTTCATTTTCAAAATTTTTCTCATTAAGTTTTGATTTATGCTGCAAAGAAAAAGTAGTTCCTTCACAAAAGTACCCTACATAAATGATTATAATGACCGCACAAAATTAAAACAAAGATCAACACCATAAGAAAACATTAAGACTATGTTGCTTGGACAAAGTAATATCCAATATCCACTACTGAGAAGCCACACAAATACACGAATAAATCTGAATAAAAAAAGTTTTTCCCAAGCCTAAGTGAACTCAATCTCCCCACAAAGAGAAATCAACAAAAAATAATAATAATACTATAATCATACAAGAAAAAAAATAATCATAGGAAGTCAGGAACCACCACACTTGTCTTCGACATTGCCACATTTCACCATGATCTCACTACATGAAGTCCATACTATAATCACAAAAGAAAGAGCTAGGCAATTTTTTCTCTTTTTTTTTTCTTCATTTTATCTTCGCCACCAAAAAAAAAACTTTATTTTTAACCTTTTCTATCACAATTTATTTTAATGTATAAACGTTGTTTTTCTCAGTACAAAGTACAAAATTGACTACCCATTCATAGTTGATGAGAATTTATAGGGTTGTAATCGGGTTATAATTGAGCCAAATCAAGTCAAGTATATCCTAGATTAAACTTGGCTTGGTTATATTATAAGTTGTTTATGGCTTGAATAAATATTTTAAAAGACTCACTTGGCTTGTACTTGATTTATTTATATTAATTGAATAGGAACTTAAATTAGTTAATAAATAAGCTAAAAATTGAATGAGTATTTGACTTTCATATGATGTTATTAATAAATAATTTTACAAATTTAAATAAATAGAATTAGTATCTAACTAGTTTACGAAAATTAAATTAGATAAAAACAGATTGCAAATAAGTTTTCTTGCAATCAAATAATATGAGTAAGTATTAACAAAATATTATACTTAAATAAGTAAATAAGAAAAAATTGTAATAAATTATAATGCATTTTGATAGTAAATATAATATGTTATCATTAAAAATGTAATTAAATAAATTCTAATTAATCAAATTTTATTTAAATGATATATCATATATAATATAAGGGGTGTTTGATAGAATACTTAAATCCCGCCAAATGATATATCATATATAATATGTTTAATCCGATAGTATTTATGGGATTAAGTCATGGATTTAACTTAAATCCCGCCAAACATAAAAAGATAGAAATTAAATGCAATGCTCTGTTAAAAAAATTTCATGTTCCGACGATAATCCTCGCGTTCCCTTTATTCTACGATGTAAATCCGGATTTATTCAATCCAACAAGGTGGATTTATGAGATGTTGCTCGTAGACAGTCACGAGATCTGATAAATCTTGACTTAATAGGATTTGATAAATCCTGTTTAACATAAAATCAAGTCGCAACCAAACAGCGCCCAAGTTATCATTAAACTTATTATAAGGTATTTAAGAAGTTACATGTGAAACAATAGACAAGTTTAATTATGAATAAAAATAAATGATTTGGACGGTGTCAAATTTTAATTTTTTTAACATTTTAAATTTTTTTAAAAAAGTTCAAACTTGTTTAGTTACAAATTTGAACAAACTTGATCAAGTATTAATTGAGCTGAGTTTGAATTGTTATCAAGGGCATTGGTTCCTTAAAAGCTCTAGTAATTTCCTTAATTGCAGCAAAAAGCACCCTTGCCAAAAAAATGGAAGAACTAGATGTGGCTAAAGGGGAAGCTCAACACCGCAAAATTTGGTGTAAATCCATTACTATTAGATATTACGTTAAAAATTGTCATCCCAAACTTAAATGTGCGCACAATATTTTCAATTTTTCAATCGCAGTACAATGCGCAAGCACAAAAGCAAAGCACGATGTGAAGCTTAACAAACTAGAATGTTGATGCCACTTATATATCAAATATGCATATATTATGTGCATACAATAATTATTTAAATAACCAAAATTACACGATACTAGATAATAATTTTAAGCAGAAGCAATATTACATGCAATAATCATAATTTTAAGCTATCCAGAAGACACAAAAAATTAAAAATTTAAATAATAAAATGATGAAGAAAAATACTTGAATCGAGAATACTGAGATTTAATAACCAACTAGAAATCAAGAAATGGAGGGAGCATAAAGCGAGAGAACAAAAATGTGGCATGAAGTGTCAATCAGGAAGGACGGAGATTAGACAGCTAAATTAGGAGTTCTCTATAAATTAGGAGCTTCCTTATTTGAATTATTTGCAATATCTTTATTATGATTTATTTTCCTTTTAGCTGAATATTTAGATTAGGAATATGTATGATTAAACTACCTAAAATAGATTATATACAATATTTTGTACCTAAAATAGATTGTAAGATTATTATTTAATAGAATGAAAGCAACGGGAAAAGACATCGAGCCTATTCAGAATTCAATCTATTTTTCTCAAAACTTTGACATGGTATTAGAGCCAAAATTTTGCCCTAATCACCGGTGAATATTGGAGGACTGTCAAGGCTCCCTTCCCACAAGACTTCTTGCGGGAAGAGAATAACTATTTCTTTGTCTTGATTCGCCCATCTAAAGATTTTCGTCCGCTGCAACTGCTTCGCCCGCCTTTGATTCGCCTTCTTCTGTCTCCCGCGTCAAGTTCCGTCACCCGCGTTTGATTCTAACTGCGATCTGCAATCCTGTC